TGGGGGGGGGGTGGGAGGAGGGGCAAGAGTGGGGGCAGGGCAGGAAGGGGGCCGGCAGCAGCGCCGAGGCAGCAGGCCGCGCCAGCAGCAGCACGCTGTGCCCCTCGCAGCACAGCCCCGGCCCGCTCACCGTCCTCGCTGTACACGGCCACCAGGTCTGGCCAGCGCGGGGTGGGGATGGGCACAAAGCGCAGCGCAGCGGCCGCCCCCTCCAGCTGCACCTCACTGCCGCGGTTCAGCGGCTCCACCCGCACGCCCCGCAGCGCAGCCGCCAGCCCCTCGTCGGCGGCGGCTCGCTCGTTGAGCAGCTGCAGGGCCGGGTTGGAGAGCAGCAGCTGCAGCCCCTCCTTGCGGGCGGCCTCCAGCACGCGCGCCAGCACCGGCAGGCGCTCCGGAGTGAGGCGGGTGATGATGATGTGGCGCAGGCTGGCCGCCGCCCCCGCCGCCTGCAGCTGGCCGGCAAAGTCGACGTCAAACACCTTGCTGGGCACGTCGATCAGCGCCTCGCATGCCCCCGCGCCGCTCTGCACGCGGCGGCGGGACAGGGTGCGTCACGACGGAGGGTGGGTGTGGGGGGATGTGGCTGGAGGCAGGCAGAGGAGTTTTGCTGCCTGCGCCCTGCTAGCAAGCCGGCACACCGCCGGTGGGGAGCCCAAGCACGGCAAGCCCCAGCCTGCCAGCCAGCCGCCCCCTCCCCTCCGCCCCCCACCTTGAGCAGGTATGCGTTGGTGGTGGTGCCGTGGCGCTGGTTGTACTCCACCTCTGGCAGCCGGTCGCTGCACGACACGCGCACCACGTCCACCCGCTTGCTCACGGGCAGCACCGCGATGTCGGCGGCGTACTTGGTCTCGGGGGGAGCCTGCAGGGCATGGCGTGGGGCTGGGTGTCAGGGAGGGTAGTTTCCGCCATGCTTGCTGACGCTGTTCGGCTGCCGCGACTTGGCCCACAACGCGCACACGCGCCTGGGGCGGAGCCTGGGGCTGCACAGCAGCGGTGCTGGCCATGGCGCTGATGCTTTGCTGGCGCCGGGGCTGCGTGGGGCCCATGCACGAAGCGCAGCGACGGCTGCCGCCAGCCGAGCGCGCGGCACGCGGGCGGGCAGCGGCCGCGGTGGGCACCACCGCTGCTGCCGCGCCCTTTGCGCGGAACGCAGCGGTCTGCTGCATGGTCTCGGGCGCTGTGGAGGTGCGCAGCGCTCGAATGGGGGTGCGGCAGGTGGCGCAGCTTTGTCTTGCTATCTCTGCCCTTGCAGGCCGGCACCGTGGCAGGGAGCTCACCGATCACCACAGACCACCAGGAAAGCAATGGAACGGTGATCCGACAGCACAGTTGTCAGTGTGTCCAGCTGGCCTGTGGTAGACCTCCCGATCTGAAAGCCTTGCAGGGCCAACCGCTCCATCGGCGCATTGCCACTGCCCTGCTGCTGGTCACAAAGCATTTCCAAAGCAGAACGGGCCGGCTTGGGGCACTAGCTCTGCGTCGCGGGGGGGTGTCGACTGAGACCTCTGCTCACCATGGCAGCCAGCCTCTCGGCCATGAGCCACGCCTGCAGGCTGGGTGGAGCGCAGCCCAGCACACAGAGCCGCCAGGCAGCTGCCGCAGCGGCGGCGCCTGCGCTGCCGCCTCGTCACGCAAGGCGGCAGCGTGCCGTGCGCCGGCAGCGCCTGCACGTGGCCGCCGCCGCCAGCACAGACGCCCCGGTGAGCCGCCACCTCTGCCCACGGCTGCCTCGGCCACGCCTGCAAGCCTGCCCGCCCCTGCCGCCCTCGCGCCATGCCCTCACCCGCCACCGCCCGCCTCCCCACTCTACCCACCTACTCACTCCACCCTACCCACTCTACTCACTCCACCCGCCCCGCGTGCAGCCCGCGGCCACGTCGCCGCACAAGCTGTCCCCCATCGAGCTGTGGAACGGCAAGCGGCTGCAGACGGTGGTTGCTGACGTGGCCGACGACACCATCACCATCCGCTCCCTGGACTGGGACCGTGACCGCTTTGACATCGAGTTTGCGCTTCAGGAGGGCACCACCTACAACAGGCGAGCCCCTACAACAGCCCCGCCGCACGGCGCCGGGTGCAGCCGCCCGTGGAGGCGCAGCGGGGAGGAGGGGCGGGGCCTGTAGAGCAGCACGCAGCCGCCCGTGATTCAGTGGCCAGCCCTGATGGTGATGGTGGTGCCCGCCCGCTGGCCTGCCCTCCCAACGTGCTGTGCCCTTGCCCCCACTCCCCCTGCCGCCCCCCGCCGCCCCCACTTCCAACTGCAGCTACCTCATCTTTGGCGCCGACAAGACGGCGCTGGTGGATGCGTCGCACGAGAAGTTCCGGGGGCTGTACATGAAGACGCTGAACGCGGAGCTGGCCAAGGCGGGGCGCCAGATCGACTATGTGCTGGTCAGCCACACAGAGCCCGACCACTCGGGTGGGTGGGAGCAGCGCCTGGGTGGACCAGCGAGGGGGGACAGAAGGGCGGGAGACGCGTGGGCATGCTGTGGGGCAAGGCATCTTTGGCACCTGGCCCTGCCGGGGCTCGAAAGCGTGCGCTGACGGTGCATGCGCGGCATGCGTGGCGCGCCTGCCTGCCTGGCGTGCAGGGCTGGTGAAGGACGTGGTGGAGCAGTTCCCCGACGCCGTGGTGGTGGGCAGCAAGGTGTGGGCTGGCGGGGCTGCCACAGCTGTGCCCTGTGCCGCAGCTGTGCCCTGCGCGAGGGTGTGTGCGCAAGGCTGGCGCCCTGCCGCCCCCCCCCCCCCCCCCCCACCTTCACGTTTGTCTCGCCTTCCTGTCCAACTTCCTG